AACTTAAAAAAGTGATAGTGATGGCTTTACTCTCTCAAACCAACCAAAATAGTGATGAAAAAGTCCACAAATGCTTGAAATCTCACATAAGGCATAATACTAACCCTCTTGAGTCACTAGAAAATGCCTAGAACCCTCTCTTTCTCTCATTTTAAAACTTACTTTTGAGAAAGGTGATGAAGATAAAAAATAAAAATGAAAAGATGGAGAAAAATAAAAAGAGAAAGAGGAACTTATTTATATAGCTCTTTTCGTATCCGTCTTGCCACATTAAAAGACAACATCCTTAACAACATACCTCAATCAATGGTCCAATATACATCTTGGCATATGTCACATTGAGTGAATAATAAGGCAATATTAATTGTAGGTAGTTAAAATTTCAAAATGTTAGGACTTTTGACATTCGCCCATGCTCCCACGCATCATCCTTTGGACTCTTATAGACCAACACTATGCCTAAGGCCATAAGCGAGTTATAACCACATCTAAGGTATGAAAATGACAAGATAAGTGATAAGTGACAAGACCATTAATCATCCTAAATACATCATGTGGACTCCAAAGGGTCCTTCGAACACTTGTCATATGGTAACCTATCGATAATCGTAAGAATAAATGTGTTTGAAAAAGTATAATCATCACTTAGTTTTTTGAAAACTAAAAAAAAAAAAATATATCAAACTAGAATGGGTGATTATACATTTAGAGAAGACTATGGTTGCCCCTATGTGCTTTCATAATGAGATTACCATTCAATTCTAACTTAAGAGAATTTTTTATTCCAACTCTAATTATGTGTCTACTTTTTGATCATGATTTACAAGTTGATTATGGAGCTTTTTCTAACCAATCTTAAGTGAAACAATTTAGAGATAAAAATAAAACTTAGTCTCTCACCTAAGTTGTCATTGGACCGTTGGAGCCTAATTAGAAGGGTTGAAATTAGGGCTTTACACCCATTAACAAATTAAACAACCCATAAAAAATACAAAAAGAAATTATTTAGACCTTAAACTCAAGTTCACATGCCCAACCATGCAATAAAATTACAAACCCACCCAAGAAAAAATTAATCTAAAAATATAGACATAAGCCTTGAACCCATATCCACATCTCATGTTATTTTTAAAATAATAAAACCAAGCTCTAAGCTCAAAACCAAGTTCAAGACAAAATATGTAAGAATACCAAATCAGTAACAATGAAAATAATAAATGAATTATAGAAGTCATTTTATTAATTCTTATATTTACATATTGATAAATTCAGTAGAATTAGATAGAAGTCCTTATGATATACATTTGCGATAGTGATGATCGAAAGATATGAGACAAAAACTAATGCACATAAATGATATCATTAAATGTCCCAAGTCATAGCATCGTAAAGAATTGACATTGACAATATGCGGATAGACTTGTGAGTGCTATGCTCATGCTATATGATAGCGAGTAGGAGATCTCACACCTATTGGCATGATGATGCCAAAGCAAGCACTTAGGTGATTTATCTTAGAGAACATATCACTGGACTTAACTCGTGATGAGAACCCATTTAGTTTTAGTCTATAAGAATATCATACGAGATGGGTACAAATGGTCCTTAGACTTGAAGTCATCACGATTATCTTATTGGAGGACTTATGCACTTTGACACTCGTTTCAATAGACTCATTAATAGATTGTACGTGGGTGATTCGTTGGGTGCACTAGAAATCCAATGGAGATAAGTATATGGCTAAGATAAGATATGTCATTCCTTGTATGCTAAAAGAGTTGTCACACTACACTTCGATAAATGTCTTCTCAAGATTTATGTGGCCACGGTAGGAGTACACCAATAGAGCATAGTTTGTTTACTCTAAGAGCTAAGATATTTAAGAATCGAAGAAAACTTATGTGATTATAATCAAACAAGACTAATAACCAAGTTTGAGATCACACTCGTGATAAGTTGACATGAGGACTGAATTGTATGGTAACCATGCTTGTGAAAGGTAATAATGGATTAACTAATCCTCCTAAAGAATTGGGTAGTCATGATGCCTTGCTATAGGCCAATCTTGATTTATGTATCAAGAGATGAAAGATGAGTCTTTTATTCTTGATACATTGCCAACATATCTAGGAGCCTATTGAGTCACACGTATAAGTTTAAGTATTCACATTACAAATAAGAAGTAAAGATATTGGAAAAAGTTTCCAATTACGAAAGTTTTCTATTTTGGAAAGAGTTTCCAAAATGAAAAGTTTCCTAAAATGAAAGTTTCTGTTTTAGAAATTAGTTTCCTAATTTGGAAGTTATTTGAAATTTGGAAATAAATAACCTAAAAGGAAAGGAGTTTCCTAATTTAGGTTAAAAGGTATTTTGGGATATTAATTCCTAATGTGGATTTCGCTAAAATAATCTAAGAATATTTATTTGGATAGTCCAAATAAATTAATTAGGTTAAAAATAGTTTTGCCCCATTAGATTTAATTAAAAGCCTTCGGATAATTTTGGTTGAAGGATAAATATCAACCTTATTGGATAATGATGAATTTTTTTAAAGATAAATAACAAGTAGTCCACATATAAAATAACTCATCATCCTTAGAGGATAAGGAAGCAATACTTTAGAGTCCTTTATGGACTCAAGAATGCCACTTTCCTTGTCCTTGGAGGACAAGGAAACTCTCCCTCTATAAATAGGAGGAGAGGGGCGACAAAAAAGAGTGAGAAAAAACCTAATAAAGAATTTTGACCAAAAGGGAAAAAGGAAGGCAAAATTCGGCCAGCCTCCAAAATGAAAGGGGCACAAGGCCAAAAAGAAAAAGAATGAGAAAATAGTTTTCTCCTAAAACCCTAGCAAGAAATTCTCATACCCTCTTCTTTAAAGTTGTCACAAAGTTGCCGGGATTGATGTATAAAGGAAATACTTAATCAAAAAAGGTGGAGCTAGCACCCCATCAATTTTGAGTGCTTTTTTATGGATATTTGGGCTGCGTGGATCATCAATAGAGGTCGAACACTTGGACAACTAATCAACAAAAAGGAATTTAGATCCGCACTATAAGAGGTAATCCTTTACTTTTATCTTATTATTTATGTATGTATGATTAGTAGATTCAACAACATGATCTTGGGGCCCTTAGATGGAGGAAAATTTTTATTTATTCCGCACCTCCATAGGATGTATGATCATTCAATTAGTATCGAGCTCGATTGAATCTTTGGTTGTATGATTGGTTAATTATGAATAACCACATGAATAAGATATATTTGATTATAAATCTTGTGTTTTGGTATTTTGTATTAGTATGGAACTAAAAATTTAGGTCAAAATCGGTAGGAGCACGTGAGGTTGACGTTGGAGGTCAACCTCGCACGCGTGGTAGACCTACTACCAGCAAGCAAGCCGTCGGCCAACCGAGTGCACGACGGTGGGCTTGGCTTAGCGCTAGGCAACGCGTTAGGTGTGCGGCAGCGACAGTGCCTACCAAGCCACTTACCTAGTTTGCGGGCCGGGCACCGCAAGTGAATGCATGCAAACCCGAGGGTTTAGGCTTTGAAACCCGTGAACCTTCAAGGCTCAAAAGCCTATATGCCCAAAGTGCGCTCAAGGCCCAAAAATTTTAAAATTGAAATTTAGAGAAATTTTGAAGATGAAAAGGAATTAGATGATCATGATAATGAGTGACTTTTACATTTTGTTTTATGTTTTTACTCTTTTTCTCACGTACTAACAAATAATTTTTTTTAATATGAATTTCAATTAAATTTATAATATTTTAATTTTAATATAAAAAATTAATTTTTATAATAAGTTGTTTGTTTTAATTATTAGTTACTAATGAGAATATCAAAATTTTTAAAATTAAATAAAAAATTTTAAAATAAAAAAGTTTAGCCACAGATTAGCAACAGAAAGGAAGATAAAAAAATAATTTTTGCTGAAAAAAAAACGACAGGAAAAATACTATTGCTAGTTAGTGACAAAATAACAACCTACTTTAGTATCGGATTATAGAGATAGATTTAAGACACGTTTGCAACGGAATTGTGACGTATTATATGGTGGAAAGATGATGGTTTCAGCTTCTACTTAGTGATGGAATAAATGAATTATTGATAGATAATTCTTCACTAATTTAGCAATGGACACCTGTACATTCCGTCGCGAGAGATTAGCAATAAACATTTTAATGAAATTTTTTTTCGATAGCAAATCTATCACTAAGTCATTTTAGCGACAAAAATTGCTAAAATAGAGACAGATTTTTCCATCGTTATTTTGCTTTTTGTAATGAAAGATCAAGTACTTCATTGAGAAAAAAGAAAAAAATATATAATTTGATATTCCGATGATAACAAATGTGTTATCGAGTTGACAAAAAAATTGACGAAAGTACTTAATTGATAATTTTGAAAAAATTAATATACTCGAACAAAAAGAATCGTATACTCGATTGGGAAAAAAATTAAAAATTAGTGTCCTCATAATGTAATTATTCCCTAAATAAATTTTCTTAAAAAAATTGATAAATTATCTTCAAAAGTATTTAATTGCCACATAATTAGCATCCATAGTTAAAATGGAGCTTTTGGTTGATCATAATTTTTATGTATATACCCTTTAATAATTATTTATTTTTCATATTTTTTAACAAAACTTTATTACATCACTTACTTAAATAATGTACATGATTCATAATATAGTTATTTTTATATAATTTACATAATAACAGTGTAAATAATTAATAGTTTTAATCAAATATGTCTATTTTTTGCCACCGTACCAAAACTCCAAAAATTCATACCACTACCAATCTACCACTAGCACCAACCCTCTCTATATCAAGCAGAGTTTAGTGATATTGATTGTAATTCCGAGATTATGGTAGTTGTGTATTATGTATGTATTAGTATACGGTTTGGTCCTATTAAAATAGCCAAAGGAAAATTGTTGGCAAAATAAAATAAAAGGCGAACAAACGGATGTTTTGTGATACCAATAATCAACGCAAGGCAGACCCGATTTTTTCAAGAACAAGATCCACCAAACTACAGGCCAAGAGCTCGAGCACAGCCTGTGGCCGAGATGGGATAACACCATCACTGTATTATTACTAATAAACTAAAAAATATGAGGTTTTTGAACGATGACAACATTGTTCACCCCCTCACAATATCATGGTTGTTTTTTTTATTTTGATCCTTCAAATTTTAATCCTCAATTACTAATAAACTAAAAAAGGTAAGGTTTTTCAACAGTGACAACAATGTTCACCTCCTTACAATATACTGTTCACTCATGTTTTTTTTTTTTTTGGTCCTTCAAATTTTAATCTCCAATTGATGCACTACATGTCTTCCTTTTTTTTTTCTTTGGTTTTTTTCCTTTGCCTTTTTCCATCAATTTATGTTATTTATTTATTTATTTAATTGGATGTTACCCTTATAATGTACTATTCACTCTTAGGTATTTTTTTTTTTGTAATTTTCAAATTATTTCATTTTGTTCTCTAAACTTTTAAAATCAAAATTTTAATCCCTAGCTCATGAACTACATGTTTTTTTTCTTTTTTCTTTTTCCTTTGCTTTTTTCCTTCAATTTATGTTTTTTTTTTTAATTAAGTTTTAAAATTTTTAAAAATTAATCTTCACTTTTTTCTACACAAATTGACGATTATATATATATATATATATATATATATATATATATATATATATATATATATATATATATATATATATATATATATATATATATATATATATTATCTTTTTATTTTTTAAATTAACATTTATTTCAGCTTATATTACTTTTATTATTTAAATTTATTTATTTTTTATGAAAATTCTCATCCAATTAATATTTTTATATACAATTTTATTTATTGATAAATATAATTTATTTTACTCTATGTTTGAATTTTAGAATAAAATCTTAAAACATAATTTTTTTTCTTTTTTTTAAAAATAAATTGATATAATATATATCATAAATTCTTAGAATTTTTAAAAATTTTATGGAAAAAATAGTAATAATTAAATAAAAAATTAACGAAAAAATTATAAAATTTTGAAATGATTTTGTTCTATCTACCTATCGCGTTGCGTGAAGAATTACAAAAATTAATCTTCTCATCGGCATTAAATAAATTTTTTTTCGTTTGTTAATTTTATAAAAGTCTATCCATTAATTATAATTTTATTTTTTGTAATACAATATTATGAAAAACATATTTTTAAAATTTTTTTAATTCTCAATTAATATTTTAGTTAAAATCAATTCATAAAGAAAAATGATTTATGTTTTTTTTTTAAAGTTATAAAAAAAATTAGAAAAAAATTAATTAAATAAAAATTATAATTAAAAAATTTTAAAATTTTAAAATAATTTTATTTTACTATACAACCAACTAGTATATACTACAATTGCAAATTGTGCATCAATCCTGGGGAATATATGACTTTAAAATTTGAGTAAATTATATATTAGTCCCTCTAGTATTAAACTAAACTAGGATTAGGTTCAGCCTCAGTCTAGCTTCATAGATGTTCAAGTCCTCGAAACTTGGCTTTGAGATTAAGATTTAGCAATGTGTACTAATCCATCAAATCATAGCATAACTTTGAATTAAAGATCTTATAAAGGTCATTCAATAGTAATACTAAAGGATTACCTTCAACTAATGACAAATCACACATCAATCCAGATTAATTATGTGAAAAGAGAAAGCTGCATCTGGGGTTTCCAACTTTGTATCCAAAAACGCGTATTGAAAAACACCTTGCCAAGGCGTAAGCAACATCATGATTGGAGAAGGATGCACTTCCAAGAACAGAGAAAAGGGGGCATGTCTTTTTCTCTAACAAAAGCATGGGGTTAGCTTTGAGGTTCAGGAAAGTGAAACCCCCACGCGAGAAAAATGACGTCTGCAACTCACCCTTTTCCTTTTTCATTCTTCCCCATGAATTGAATTTTATAGAGTAGTTTGTGAAAGCTGCTGGCTACTGTGATTGTAATTGATCAGACTGACAAGTTAAAGGCGTAAACATGCACACGGGTGCATGTGGATGTTGGGGTTTTTTTGGCGCTTATCAGCAGCATTGCAATGCTCAGTGCTAGTAGCTGCACAGACCATGCCAGTTGGTCACGTGCGGTTCTGTCTCCACATTTATGAATGCACCCGCTTGCTTTTCTGCGCGGTAGCATGTGGCATGGCACCACCTTCTTCCAAGCGGCTTTGCCACAATTAATTATGGAACCTAGTCGATAATAGATGATGAACTGAAAAACCAAGTTGTCAATTATTAACAATTTACACTAATATTTTATATCGGTGTCATAAAATAAATCAAATTAATGTAGCACAAACATGAAATTGAAAATAGAAAATGAATTAAAAAATTATATTCTGTAAAAAACTATTTAGAATTAAATTAATAGTTAAGATTTACCTTATATCATTAATTTGGAGATTGAAAGTTAAAATTTTAATTTGAAAGAAAATTTTGAAATAATAAAAAAGAAACAAATGGGATATTAATTAGTTAAATTATGGCTTTTTTTTTCAAGAATATAATGAAAAATTTGATATATCTTATAAAAAAAGAATTAATGAATTTGCTAAATAGGATATAGACTATGAAAGGGTTCTTTTGAATTAAGGAATTTTTGAACACAGATTTTTATTTTTTATTATTTATTTATTTATTTATTATTATTATTATTTTTAAAGGAAAGTGGATATTTGGTGTTTTACGTACAAGGCAAAATATGCTTAAAAAGGGGAGAAAGCAAGGAAGACGTGTTGTTCATAGTAGTATTTAATTAATTTTATAGACAAACTATTAAAATGACTTCATACAATTTAATTTTGAAATATTTTTAATAGGCTCAATTGGATACACGATCTTCAAGAATCTTACTTTTGAATAATTACTGAATATATTTTTCATTTTTTTATTAATTAACACCCTTAGTTATAATCTAGTCTTGTCAAGCACCTTCTTCTATTTTTTTTAATGTTATGAAATAATAAATATTAATAACTGTATTTATATTTAATTTACCATTATTATGGTATATGAATGTATTTATTCTCCATCACATTTTCTAATAAGATTTACTTTGCCATTATCATATATAAATGTATTTATTCCTCATTAAATTTTTAATCTAGAATTTTATGTAATATTTACCTATAAATTGATATGTTAAGTGAAGAAATAATGCAAATCACTTTTGTATCATCTTTCTTTCAAACTCTTTTACTATTACTTTTCTATCATCTTTCTCTCCAACTCTTTTATTGTTATCATGACTTTTATAATACATTATCAAAATTTAGTATTCTATTAAAAGACTTAAATTGGCTTAATCATTAATGATATATATATATATATATATATATATATCTTTTACTTTAAATATAATAATACATAAAGTATACGTTTGAAAAACTTGAATAATCTAATATATAAAATCTAATGATCTAATATAGATTGTTTGAAAAGTTTGAATTTTATTATTATAATTGTTTTGACTTCCTAACAATGTTATTATATCTTGCATTATTTTTTTCTCAATCATGTCAAACCTCACAAAACTTGATTTTATGGCCTTTGATTTTTTTTTTTTTTTGACAAGAATTAATGATCATGGTGCTTGATGTTGAAAAAACTTTATCTACTTATCATGTATTGAATATGCTTCTACAAGTAGTAATACCAAAAAAAAAAAAAAGATTTTAAAAAATGTTCGAATTGATTTTATATTTGCCATTGATGCAAAATCATGAATTCCACCTAATCGGCTCCACTTTTTTTTTTTTTTTTTTTTCTGAAGTGAACATGACAACTTATGATAACTATAGGTAAGGTGGTGGTTGTAGCCATAGTAGTAGTCGTTGTCGAAATAATTATTTTTATAATTGTGGTGGTCATAATATACACTTTAGGACAAATTATGAAGAGAAAAAAAGGATAAAAGTGGTCAAGCCAACATTCTGAAAATGAATATTATCGGTGTGGTATAAAAGAACATTGATTGCATACCTACCGTATGCCAAAACACCTCATTGAGTTTTATCAAGTTTTATTGAAAAAAGAAAGAGAAAAATATAGAGACAAATTTTATATATCAAAATGATGCTTATAACAATGATCTCCTTTATAGTCTTAGTAATTTGACACATTTAGATGTTGCTTTAAAAACAAAATTAAAGGAAAATATTATAAAATTAATGATGGCAATTGAAATTAATAACTCGTAAGTTTTTCTATTTATAATTTTTTTTTATGTTTTCTTATAATCCCTATTCCATCATGATAGTTGCATTTTTTTTTTTGCTACAAATTTATTTATTTACCTATTTTGTGTTTTCGAAGACTATATGAATAAATTTTATTATCTATGTCGGGTAGTATCAATCTAATTGGATGCTCGAAAAAACGAATATATTATTACATGAATAGACAAATTTTTATTATAAATGATGCATTATTTTCTACTAAATTCCATAGAAATTTGCTGATTTTCAAATATATTCGAATGATTGAAGCAAGAACTATAGTAGACTAGAAATTTAAGAATTCAAATATTTTTATTCCGTGACATGACTTGGTTGGGCCATTTGAGTCCATCATGATGCAAAAATTATAAAAGATTCATATAAACATCCATTAAAAAGCCAAAAGATTTTTTAATCTAATGAATTTTTATGATCTACATGTTCTCAAGACAAACTTATTATTAAGCTCTTTCCAAGCAAAATGGAATTTAATCTCCTGTATTTTTAAAATGTATTTAAAGTGATATATGTGAATCAATTCATTCATCGTGTGGACCATTTAGATTTTTTATGGTTTTAATAAATTCATTAACAATGTAGTCATATGTATGCTTATTATCAACTTGAAACCTAACTTTTTTTTTGATTGTTTTCTCAAATAATTCAATTAAGAACATAATTTTCATATTCTTTTATTAAAACAATTTACCTTGACAATGATGGTGAATTTACATCTTAAGCATTTTAATGATTAATGCATGTTTATTTGAATAAAGGTTGAACAACATATTGCTCATGTTCATAGTCGAATGGTATAACAAAATCATTTATCAAATGTTTCTCATTGATAGCTAGATCATTATTTATGAAAATAAAACTTTTTGTTTCTATTTGAGGGCATGTAATTTTATATGCAACAACACTTATTTGCATTATGCCCATAAATTATTGTAAATTCTCCATTCCTTAATTAATTTCTAATCATGAACCCAATATTTTTCATCTAAGAATTTTTGAATGTGTAGTATATGTCCCATTGCTTCTCTATAAAGAACTAAAATAAGTCCCGAAAAGAGATTTAGAATATTTATTGGTTATGAATCTCATTCTATAATTAAATACTTAAACCATTAATAGGATATATTCATGACTCAATTTGCCAACTGTCATTTTGTTGAAATAATTTTTTCAACATTAGGAGGAGAGAATAAGCAATTGGAAATGTTGAAAAATGAGATTATATAGAATACTCTATCTTTGCATCATCTTGATTCCGGTATAAAATAATGAGAACTAGACGTTCGGATCATAATTCATTTAAAAAGTCTTGCAAATCAACTGCTATATGCAATATTTGATCCAAAAAGAGTAACTAAATTACTCTAAATCACATGTCCCTACCGAGAATGCTCTTATTAGAATTGATATCCTAGTAGGATAACCCATATATTATAATAAATAAATCTAAAGTATGCTTGAAGCATGGAAAACCAATTGGTTCTAAGAACAAAAAAATCTTCAAAAGAAAAGAAAAAAATAATCAAGATAAAAATATAAAGGAGGCAAATATTTATAGAATTGTCCAATATATATCCGATAACAAGTTTATGGAAGAAGTCCAAATGACCAAAAAGAAACATATGTTGATAATATTTTTGCATCTAATGGTGTAATTAGTATTTTGAATGAAAATAAGTATCTTGAGTTTAAATTTATTGAAAAATACCGACATGGAAATTATTAGCCTAAATAAAAAGATGCAATCAAGGAAGAATTTAATTATCTTACAAAATGGATGTAAATGGATATTTATGCAAAAATAAAATGAGAAAAATAAAATAATGAAATACAAAACAAGAATTGTATTAGAAGGGTTTTTGCAAAGACTAGGCATTGACTAAGGAGACATATTCTTTTGTAATAAATGCAATTATATTTTGTTATTTCATTAGCTTAACAACACATAAAAAACTTTATATACATTTAATAGATGTGATCATAGTCTATTTATATAGTTCACGTGATAATAATAGGTGTATGAAAGTTATATATGTTAGTATTGGTGCTCAAGATCCAACCATGTTTGGATGGACCCAAGTTAATGTATTATTGCATCATTTAATAAAGATGTCATTCTATTACCTCTTATTTTTACATGTTGATAAATTCATTAGAGTTAGATAGAAGTCCTTATGATATGCATTTGTAATAGTGATTGATCGAAAGATGTGAGACAAACACTAATGCACATAAATAATATCCTTAAATATCCTAAGTCATAGTATTGTTGAGAATGGACATTGACAATATGTGGATAGACTTGTGAGTGCTATACTCATGCTAAATGATAGCGAGTAGGAGATCTCACACCTATTGGCATGGTGATGCCAAAGTAAGCACTTAGGTGATTTATGTTAGAGAACATATCATTGGACTTGACTCGCCATGAAAACCCATTTGATTTTATTCTATGGGAATCTCATACGAGATGGGTACAAATGGGCCTTAGACTTGAAGTCGTCACGGTTATCTCATTGGAGGACTTATGCACTTTGACATTCGTTTCGATGGACCCATTAATGGGTTACGCGTGGGCGATTTGTTGGGTGCCATAGGAATCTAATGGAGATAGGTGTATGACTAAGATAAGACATGTCATTCCTTGTATGGTAAAGGAGTTATCACATTACACTTCGATAAATATCTACTCAAGAAATCTATAGCCATAGTAGGAGTACACTAATAGAGCATAGTTGGTTTACTCTAAGAGCTAAGACATTTGAGAATAGAAGAAAACTTACGTGATCATAATCGAATAAGACTAATAACCAAGTTCAAGATCACACCTGTGACAAGTTGACATGATGACCGAATTGTATGGTAACCATGCTCGTGAAAGGTAATAATGGATTAACTAATCTTCCTAGAGAATTGGGTAGTCATGATGCCTTGCTAGAGGCCAATCTTGATTTA